TCTCATCTTCCACGGTGTTGTCCAAATCCGAATCCACTTTCTTTCCTAAAAGATTAAATTAAAACATTAAAACTCAACATGAAAACATTTAGAAAACATTAACTTGTTGAGACCCCAGTCACACCAGTCGGTGACCATCTGGCAACCTCCAGGCATAAGTACAAATGTGTACTCCCCAGTTGTTTGAATGTGGCTACTGGCAGTCACTGTGAATTGACTGGTAAAGCCCCGCTGACGTAGGCCAAGAAGCTGGCCAGTCAATCTGCTAGAGACCAAAACAATCGCAGGGAGGTATTTGGTGAAGCACCGTCTTTGTGAATGCCACTGGGTAACAGCCAGCACCCACTCAACAAATACACACTTTCCTCTGACAGAGGATGCCAGGGTCTCACTGAACACACCTGACTCTTACAAGAAAGAAAGATTACCTTTAGCTTTTCCACCTTTGCGAGTTGGTGTTTCAGCTGAAAGCTGGAGCTGAATGTTTTCTGGGTCCCCACCTTCATCCTCAATAGCCTTAAAGAACAATCAAGCTAGGATCACTAATTAATCAGTATGCAAATTAAATAATTAAACAGCTGGCACGTAATAAGAGAGATACATAAATGCAATGACAGTGAGCTTCCTGGAACACAATAACTGACCACTATTCACAAATTAATCACTCTGGCTTGCAAGGCTGAAATATATCATCACAGCTGATTGCGATTCAACTGACGGCTCACAAATTTTGCTGTAAGACTGCAGAAACACGCACAAAAAAAGCACGCCGGCGGCGTATATTAACAATATTTATAGCTCAGCTCCTTCTTAGGCAGCAAAGCGGATTATAGATCATCATGGACACTGAGACCGACTTTTAAATGTGAACATCAGACAGTATTGACGTTTAGCTAAAAATCGATTAAACAGGCGATTAAACAGCAACCACATGTTCGACTATATTAAAACAAAACAAAAACAAACACTTTTATCCGTACCCTGGATGTGTCAGTACTCATCGTGAAAACTCAATCGAAAACAAGCAAAACCAAAAAAAACAGAGTAACTACTGAGCTCTTATTTAGATCAGGACTTACAATGAGCGCATGCGTATTTTAACAATAAAATCCACATTTCCAGCACCTGGGATCAATCACGCGCAATCTGCTGCATCTGTTTGCGCTGAGATTACGTGGTCCTCAAAAGCGGCATCGAACCAGAGAGCCCTAGTCCGTCTGACGTTTCGAGGCGAAGGGGGAATAAACAGGCCTTTTGTTTGGGCACCCCCGCTAATTTAAGGGGAGCGTTAACATTTTTATATACTTCAACACAACCTCCATTGGCTCCTGGTCCGAGCTACAAACACGAAATATTTCCCGACAAATATCTAGCTTTAATGCCTCAAAAACTCGGTCACTCTAGCAATTAAACTACAAGTGTTGTTCGCTAGAATCGATGGGAAATCTGTGACTACACGGGCTAGCATTAGCGTTAGCATCTGTGCACCGTGCAGCCAGGCTCGGTCATCGTTTCTGCACACATCAGCTCCGTCTGACTCACCTGTCTAAGTCGCGCGACAAGAACACTCTTCACACCAAAGGTGTCCAAATTTCTTCGCTTGAGCTCCGATTTAAGATCAACAACTCTTAATTCCGATATCTTCTTGCACTCGGTTGAAATGGCACCCGACGCCATTTTACCTCAAGATTACAGAATGGTTGCGCGCGCAGACACTTTCCCCCCCTGCGTCTTCTTCGTTGGTTTTCAGTAGTTATTGATTAAATGCTTCGCCGTCATCTATTGTTAAGGCGAATACTTATTATTTTGGACGCACCCTTTATGAATACCCACAGCGGATCATCTGCATCCCTCTCACCCTATCACTAACATTCTCTTCTGTCACATCCACGAACCTCCCTCTGTGGTCTTTTTCCTTTCCGGCTCCTTATTCAGCATCCTTTGTCGTATATATTAGGGGTGCAACAATACTC